GACCTTAGTTCAACTGTTGCAGCTGATGTCAGCACTGGCATCTTCTGCGTCACTCCGTTTTGCTCATGTTTTGAGTAAACCCTCATGTTGTGTTTGCTCACCCTTAGTGACCTTTAAGAAGCTCTGGTCCAATGGTAACCTGTTTCTGGTACACTCACCAAGGCGCCAGCTCCAAAATTCATGCAATGAGAAAACAAAATTTGCTGGACATTATATTAACCTACCTATATACATGTGAGAATTAATTTTATCTGTCTCTACTGTGACTGTAGTTGTATGCCATTAGTACTTCTGCTGACAATAAAGAGCTTCCTGGAGAAGTCAAATGTTGCAGACAGTAGCAGCAACTATACTTAAAACGTCTTTTTTTTTTTTTTTCAAAAATTCTGATAAGGCATATAATCAGTCCGTTTTATCTTTAATATAGTAGTTTTAGAGATAGAACAAACTTAAAACACCATCAAGCACATAACATCACCTTATTTGAAGTCCAGGTGCTCAGCAGCTCTTCAGTGTTTTGCAGAGAGGGCTGAAGCTCCCAGCCTTGCTTTTCACACCGGGTAAACTGATTGTATTGCTAGTAAGTCTCCTTACTGCTTTATGAGTCTCCTTTTTAAAGATCTCCCAAAAAAACAGTAATAAAAATGTTTCTTATGTTATTTAGATCCTTACTTGTGCTTAAAAGCTGCACAAAATCAAGGTTGTATCAGTGAAAAGAAAAATGAGATACTTAATGATACCAGGAAGCAATTTTGTGTTTTGGCACTAGTCAATATGCAGCAGAACATAAACAGACATTCTATTCATAAAAGTACAATTAAATCAGAAGACACTTAAAGGCTGGTTAAAGATTTGTTAAGTCAGACGTTATTGGTAAGCTTTAAAGTAATTTAGGAACAAGCACCATACAGTGCATGTTGGTGCAAACTGAAAATATTTTCTAATAAGCTTAAACTGTTTTTTTTTTTTTATCTTTACATGTTTAAAACTTACACTTGTCATTCAGCTCTCGAACCCTTAGCATAGGAGTAGGGAGAAAGACATTTAACGACTGGAACTGAAGTAGCTTCTAAAGAAGTTAGAAGAATTACTGTAGCTTCCTGTTTTTTTCCTAATTCTTTTAGCATAGCTTGCTTGTAACTACTGCTTAGAGATTAATATTTTTGTCCTTTATCCATAATGGCATCAGTCTGGTTAGTATAGAATTAAGCATAGAAAAATTATTTTTTAGGAATGTCTTAAGGTAAAAAAGTCCAGGAAAGAAGCCATATTTTATATGTACAAAAGCTAAAAGGAAATGTTTTTTGAGGGGTTTGGAAGTTACTGAATGACTGTATAGAATTGTATCATGGTGTTTTCGGCAGACAGATTCTTTTTTCCAGAATATAGATTTAAACAAAAAATATGATAATTAATGAAATGCATTTCAGAGAATGTCCTCTCTCAGGCAAGATGAGTTTTAGTAAATTACCATATTCAGTGCTTATATTGGCTTTGAGGAACAGAAAGAGCAATACATAATCAAGTCCATCAGAAGTTACAGCAAATTGGCTATGAGGAGTACAGCGATAAAGTATTATCAAGTGCTTTACTGAACAGTTCAGAAACACAGACCAAGATTGTTAATTTAAATATATTTAACATGTTAATGCAAGCAGTGCAGCAGGGAATACTTAATCAAAAAACAATAAAACTTATACAGTATGGAGTATCACTGTATATCTTTTTCTTGTATGCAGTATGATAATGTGAATATGAAGGTTAAGTCTTGTTCATAAAATCAAAATACTGTGCAATTCTGTGTTGCTGCATACAGAGACTTACTGTTTATCATATTTACAGTGCCTCTTTCTAAAAAAAAATACAGCAGTTTAATAACACCAAACATTTTTCTGTTGCACAGCTGGAAACCAAGAAAAGTTCTGCAACATATCCACCACATATTGGCTTCCTAAATAGTTAAAATTGCTGAACTCCACTGGTGCTAGTACTAAACATACTGTTTATTTTCCTGTACTCAGAGGCACCACTGGAATCCACCTTCTCCATTAGGACGTAAGTCTCAAAATGAAGTTACTCACTGCCTGTGAAAAAAGGTCTGCAGACTTTTTATAAGATTCTGTCACATTACACAGAAAAAAAAAAAAGTATTGTTAGGTTGATTGAGACGGACTATAGCTGCAAATTTTCCCCTCTCTTTTGAAATGCCTGGCAAAACGTGATGTCATTACACACATCTGCAGGTGAGATTATGTTTAGCTCATGCAAGGCAAGGTGAAAACTGAAGAGTGCACTAGGGAGGCAGGGGGAAAGACAGGAGTCATCAGCCTGTAGTGCATCCTTCTGTGAGGGAGTGACAAGCAGTGGTACCGCTCTGTGGCCTAAATTCTTCCCTGCCCCTGTACCTTATCACAGGGAAGAGAACTTCTGTGTATGCTATGGGAGTATTCTCAGCATTGCCAGTGAGAAAAATGAAAAATTAATGAGAGAAATCTCAAAATGTACACACATGTGTGTGTGTGTGTGAGTGTGCACACGTACACATGAGTGTTTTTGTATGTAAAGTCCCTACATTTCAGTCTTCCTTTTTAGATATAATGAGCCCTGGGGCTTGTTCTCACTGGAGTAATGGTTTGACTAACCTACGCTTGCTGAAGCTCCTCTCAAGTTTGCCTAGCCTGGATGAGGGAAGCTGGGCTTCAAAGCAGTGGTGTTTGGATAAGCAGCACAGAAGTTCACAGACTCTGTCTCATTACCAGCTCCAGAGCTGGCTCCATATTTATACACTGGCTTTAAGCCACACTTCACTTACAGGCCAACTAAAATCAAGACAGCAAATTTTTCTTTGGAAGTCTCCCATCTGTGTACTACTTCAGACTGTTCCTGCTGGAGAAAAGGGAAAGAAGGAAAGGATGGCCAGTATCAGAGGAATTACTGTATTTTTTTTTTGTCCAGCTTGCCCTCCCTTACACTAAAAAATGAAAACTGAAGAAGAAAGGAAAAAGAATCATTGAAAATTTTCAATTTTCTCTGATATGTATGCCAAGTCACATACAGAAGTAAACGTTTGAGAAGGCACCACATCTTTTCATTCTACCAGAGAACAGGCAAAAAGGACACACGGCAACATAGAAGGTGCAAGAGAGGACACCTCTCTCTTCTTCATTAGAAGTTGGAGACAGATGAGATGGGAGGACTGCCCATGAAGGGAGACAGAAGAGGAAAATGTTTTTTGAGATTTGAGATAATTTTGAATTTTGAGAGAATCTGTTGAAAATGAGAGGAAGAGTAATTCAAGAAGAAATAAATAAGAGAGGGGGATATGCGGAGCTACTAACAGAAATAAAGACAGGCTGTGATAGAGTATTTCTTACGACATTGACTGAAGAAGGACAGATAATGGCATAAAGTTATTCAAAAGCCTCCGTGATCTGAAGTTTCGAACTATATATTGACTGCACTTATGTGATGATTTTTCAGCTCAGGAGGATTGGCATTAGTGTATAGTTGTAAGAGTAATATTGAGAGAGCAGGAAAGGTAGCCGTGTGTGATAAACATTGTGGTTGGTTGGATGTGTTCACAGTTTTCAGCTTGTAAGTGAGGTGTGTTTTTTATACATGTACTGGTAGATCTTTTCAGAGTTGAGAGATGAGATAGATCTGTAGGGCTAGTAAGACTGAAAAAGAGCAGAATGTCTCCTCCCCGTCCCTCTTCACTTGGAGATAAGTTTTCTCCACTTATACCTAGGACAGATCTCCGAAGTGGAGTACAGCTTTTTTTACAGTCATTTTTTTCCTGATTATAGCGGCACTTTTGCTAAAATATTTGAAGAGGAAAGCACTAATTGCCAAAACACACCTAAAGAGGATAATACTGGGCCATTATGTTTCAAATTTATAAACATTCTGGTAGGGACATTCTCGTTTGTTTGTTTTCTTAGCTAGAATATTTAGGATCCCGCTTTTGCTTGTTCAGACATTCAGAGTAGAAAATTTGTAACAAATGTCCAAAATAAAAATGCTCAGAAAAGAGGCTATATGAAATACAGTCAGGTGTGCTTAATGTGCCATCTTATATAAAAGAGAATTCTCAATAGTATTACTGGAGCAGTGATCTTCACAAAGTACAGATCACAGTAATTTGGATGGTAAATGCATTCCTTCCTGGAAGGGCTATAATGTCACATCATTTGAAATTCAGGAAAGGCAGTTTATGTAGTGATTACTGATAAGGGATTCCACCGAAGTCTGTGTTTCTCGGGTCACTATTTATATGGCAAATAGTTACACTACGGGGATAGCTATATTGATTATAAGCTGGTGTTTCACTGCAGGACTCTAAGTTTGCCTCAGCTTCGATGGCAAGAAATGTAAATTACATCTGCTTATATCAGAACGAGTAAACATAAGTCAAAAAGCTTTTTGTGGTTTCTTAAACATAAATTGCTAAGTATTTAACTTCTCATGTACATGAAAACCCCACTGAACAGCAGAACCATTTTGACCAGTTCCTACTTTTATTGGAAATAACAGTAAACCCTCATCTCCTTCAGAGATGAAAATCTGGTAACTTGAATGGTGAGGTAAAATCACTACACAATAGGGCAAGAATCAAAACCAGTTTTGCAGAAATGTATTAGTTGGTGTCCAGTAGTGAGGTTAGGCGACCTGATAGTGCTCTTAGTTTAATATTGACTGAAAGTTGAAAAGACTGGCAACAGGAGCTCCTTTTTTGACTGTTTCTTGAAGGTTATTCTGGAGCTCAGTGGATTGCTTGTTAATTTTCATGGTTATATTAAAGAATCATATTCCTACAACTCCTCAAATTTCTTGCACCTCCGTTTGAATTTAAGTTCTTTTTCTATTCTGTGGCATTACAGTGTATTTTAATTTAGTTTTGCTATTTTCTTGGTACTGCTCTTAGCTGGTATACATATTTATTTGTGGTTATTTATTAAACTTCTCATTATACTGACTGTGGTTATTGTGATCTTTTGCAGTGTACCTGGAAGACAGTTTTGTAAAATCTGGAGTGTTCAACGTGTCGGAGCTTGTGAGAGTGTCCAGAAGTAAGTTAACGATTACATTTAATCATTTCTAAAACCAACTAAAATGAAGTGAAAGCTTTCTTTTTACCTGATTTTATTTTTCTGCAAAATAGGATGTGTAGAAAAGCCCGGTCATCACTACAAAGGATTTTGTTAGTTTTACAGACAATATTACTTTTTTTTTTTTCAGTTGTAATGAAACACACAATAGTCCTTTTTCATATTTCTGGTATTTAAAATTAAGTCAATTTTTGTGTTTCTGCATACAGTGTAGCAGACTGTCAACAACATTATCATACATAAAAAATCTTTAATTTAGTAAACTTCCAGCTGTTTTAAAGTTAACCTACACACTCTTGCTTTCTACTAAATCAATGGATTATTCTTTTAGTTTGTTTTCTAATTGTTAGCTCCTTAAAGGAAACCGTAGCAAGGATAGACAGGATTATTAATTTAATGTATTATAGTCTAGGCTATTTCTTTTACTCATAGCACTAGTTACAATTGAATTTCTACTTAAATTAGGGTCTTTTTGGCATCAGGCAAAATGTCTGTGATGCACAGAAGCATGCTAAGAATACAAAAGTAATATCAACTGTAAGTATTAGGGGAGAGCTGAAGTTTTTATTGGAGACAAAAAAAAAAAGCAAAATGAATAGAAAGATCTGTTCTGTTGAAATTACAAATTTGCTGTGTGTAATGCCATGGCATAAAAACAATGCATATTTTCATTTGCTTTCCAAGCACTTCTTTTGCCCCCTTAATATCAATATTAGTGCGTTTCTGTTAAAACTTAATTAAGATGTGAAAGTTGTGTTCAGTAGTGTCTACAGTGATGATACATATAACGTTAACATGATGATAATTGAATCGCTCAGGAAAATCTCTTTTGTGGTGAGATGAGGCCAAAAACAGTGAGGCAAAAGTCCCCAAAACTCTCTGCCCTAGTTTTGCACAGGAGCTAATTCATGCCAGGACAGGATGCTTAAGGAATTTAGTTTACTTAGTGAGGCTAAGAATGTGATTGCCATTTTTTGTTTGCCATGGTCAGAAATGAAAACTATATAAAACTGTTCAGCGAAATACTGAGTATTGTGGTCCTGCAGTGTCAAGACATCTGTTACTTTTGTGCTGGCTAAAGACATGTTTTTGCCATTGTAAATAGCTGAGGATTTGTGTTATGTGAAATACAGACTTTGCTTGTAGTTGACCAGCGGATAAATATGTTTTAAAGTATTTTATCATTAATTTTTTTTAAAAAATCAATGTTATAGTTACCTTATGAAATCATACCTTCTCCTGCTGACTGTTATACACAATGTATTTTCCATAATAAACTTAAAAGCATGCGGTTTCTGTGGGATTTCTTGCCATGCATTTGTTTAACCTCAAGCCGCAACAGAGTTGTACTTTAACTGTCAGGAAAAATACAAACCTTCAGATGCATTACACAACATGCAATTATTCTTTTAAGTGCCAAAGGTAGTTAAAATGCACAATGCACAGACAGTGAACAAAGGTAAGTATGCCACACCATATAACATATAATTTGTTCTTGAAACATTAAAATGCACAGCACACAGACTCTGCAAGGTGCACAGACCATGTAAGGAGGTGAAGGGGGACAGTGAATGTGTATGTTTGTGTGTGTAGACAGTGGCACTGCGTGGAAGAGAGGGGAAGCAGTACAATATGCCATCAGGATGGAAGGCTACTTTAATACAAAACAGTTAACATTCAGGGAGGAAGAGTTTGTGCAACTCAAGTTTTTTGTTTCCAGTTATTTCAGTTGTTTTCATAAAGGATATCAGCTCTGCTTACAAACTTTGCCTCATTTGCTGTAAAAGTCATTCTGCAAAAGCCTGGACTTGGTGTCATAGTGTGTGTTGCTTTTTCACATTGACAATCCCAGCTTGCCTGTTATAAAACAATTATGTACAGCAAATACGCTGTCTCCACAACTGTTAAGGGATTTCCAGGGACTAGAGGAGGCAATTCACTTTTAAGATATATAAACACTGATAGAACATGTCTGTACTTGGTTTCTGCAAGAGGCAGAAAATTAGGTTCATGTAGGAACATATGACGTTTTTCCCAAAGTTAAAAAGATTGTAAAAAGATAAAAGATTATCTCTGACTCTTTATAATGATGTGTTTTTCAGCCCCTATAACCCAGGGAACTGGAGTGAACTTCCCAATTGGAGAGCTTCCGAGCCAGCCATATTACCATGATATGAATTCGGGAGTCAATCTGCAGAGGTCCCTTTCCTCTCCACCAAGCAGGTAAAAACATGAAATAAATGCTAATACAAAGTCAGTTTAATAGGGTGGGGATGGCAATTCACAAATACTGGCAACAGCAGACTTTTATGTATTTCCTCTGATTTTTTAAGTAGGCTGCTACATATACAGAGATAAATACACACACACTTATGTTAAATAATCTTGTAATTTGAAATGGTATCATTACTATTGACATCACAGATAATAACTTCTGTCAGGTTTTGAAGTGCTGAATAGTGATCTGCCAAGAAAACATTACACCTCCCAAATCGGCTACTCGGTTGTGGAAAGGTCCATCACCTTGGAGCGTGCTGGCAGTGCTTAATGCTCCAGGGCAAATCCTGGCACAGAAGCAGTCTTTGATGGCGCCTTCTTGGACTCCCTTCTTGAAAGTTTTAGTAGGACAGGTACTGTTTCTTGAGGAAAGGGCATTATGGTAGCTGTATGGCAGCCATCACCAACTATGGGGAACCTGTGTTTGTAGCATCACCCTTGCTACAAGACATGAGTTTCCCACCTCACCCTTGCAAGGAGCTTTTCCTAGCATCGTAGAGAAGGAGTATGGGGAATCACAGACTCCCTTATTTTCATCCATGATCTCTATGAGCCTAGTACTAGGAGTTTACCCTGAAGGGCCAACTTATCACTTGCATGCCACTAGCATGTGGCCTTCTCTGTTCTGGAAGACGTCCCGATCATCCCTGAGGAGATTCAAGAGGCACCCCAGGTGTGTGGCAAATTTGCTTTGCCCTCCTGGTTTGAGGGCAGCATGTTGATTATCCAAGAATATCGTTGCTTTATGAAGCTCTCCTCTGTATCATGAAATCACAAGCAATATAGCATCTAGCATCCCCAGGACTCTGCACTCCAGGGAATCAGGAAATATCTTGTGACTGGGACAGACTTTAAAATACTTTCGATTTTTTGAGTGGACTGGAATATTATTCCACAAGGATCTAGTGTTTGTGAGTTATTTAGCTCATTTTCCAGCTCTTACTTCCATTAAATTTTCAGCTTTGAATTTCAACTAATGCACTTAAAGAAGATATATTCATTCTCACATTTCTGTTTAAAAATAATAATTCCATGAAAGTCTGTATCGTGGTTTTCTTTGGCAATCTATTTAGCAGCTTTAATACACATTATTATGAAGAAATTTGACTTTTCTTCACTGTATTGAAATGCTGCTTAGTTTTATGTAGTGTGACTTGAAATGTGGGCCTTTTGTTTTCCATTAAACTAATTTAAAATGAAAAGTCTTTCTGTCAGGTAGATTGCTTTGAAAAGCTTAGTATTTTGACCAGGTGAAACAAAGCAAACTGTTTTTTCCCCCTATTAGCACTTTTAGAAAAATGCCTGTTCTACCTGGACTTTATCAGTAGCACTTTTTCCAGTGCTCTGTTTTGCTTTCATGGGTGCTTGATAGTGTTTAACATTCTCATGACACAACTCTTTTACAGCTGATTACAGAAACCGCTTTCTTGTTTCTTCAGCTGGATGCCAGTAGATGCAGAACACTTACAGCATTTTCAGGGTGGCCATGCATGCCACCTCTGAAATAAAATCATGTGAAAAACATAAACATATACCTCTATTACATGTTATTACATAGCATATATACTAATTTTAAATATGGATTTTTTTGTTCTTTTTATGTGTGGATTACTTTCTGCTGAAATATTAGTTGAAAGACAAATATTTTTTATACCACTGTGAGCTGCATATCATACTCATGGCCAAATCTTACATTACTCCAACAGCAAAAGACCCAAAACTATCTCCATAGATGAGAATATGGAACCAAGCCCGACAGGAGACTTTTATCCTTCTCCAAATTCACCAGCTGCTGGGAGTCGGACATGGCATGAAAGAGATCAAGGTGAGTGATATCAGACCATTTTGCCTCAAAGTATGTGCAAACATACAGCAAAGCTCTGGATATGCCTTTCCATTTTTTCAATAAAGTGATGCTTTTTGGAAGAATCTTAATTATTTTATGTAATATATATATGTTAGTTTTATAAATGCAGTTAGAAAAAACAATCAAAAGTATAAAGTAAGAACAATCACACAACATTTTTTTTCATCTGGTCCCTGCCCTGCCGTTTGAAAGGATGTGTTGCGAGTCCTTTGAATTGTTTATGCAGTAATCATCCCTGGAGAATTATGAGTCAAATCATTTCAGTAAAAAACAAAATATCTGCATACTGTGGTTGAGGCAGCCCTAGTTTACTCAGCTTTTGTTTTGCAAAACATGATACAGACTCCTGCATGTGGATTTAACCCATGGTATGTGTCTCTGAAAAGGTCTAACAGGCGCTTCTGTAAATAGACCTCATGTAGCTCTGGAGAACTACATATGTACGTGTGGTTATGCACAGTTGTGATCCGGGACATCAGAAACAAAGAACATGTTTGCTCAGAGCAAAAAATTATGATTGTCAAAACACTAAAGTTAATTGTTATAACTTTTCCTGATGTTAGCCTGATGTTTTATAAGCCTTTACGCTAGTGTAGTCTTTTCCCTCGCCTTTGTGATGTGAAATCCTCCTTAGACACACAAGTACTTGGACAGGTAGTGGCTAATGGATCCGCTGTTGGAGCTCTCTGGAGAATTTATGAAATATGCAGAACCGTTTGTAAAACAGTATGTAAAAGTAAAACAGGGAAAAAGACATGCAGTCTTTTTCCCTGGCTGCTTCTGGCGTTTGCCTGCTTTTCTCTCTTCACTGCTCACCATTCTTTCATCCTTCAGACTGGCCTTTTGGGCTGTGCTTTTTTAAAGTTGTTTTAGGCTGCTTCGGCTACTTTTTTGTTGTTGTTGCTAGGTTTTCTCTTTCATCTCTGTGTGCATGGTAGCATGGGCTCAGTATTTAATGTAGCTGTATTTTATGTTCATGGTTTGTTGATACCTGGTTTCTCTTAAATCTGTTTTTACCTGCTTTCTGCTTTGTGTTCTCATTAGGCTCTTTCTTATGCACATTTCTTTTTTTTTTAAACTCTTACTTATTTTTTCTGTACTTTCCTCTCATGGGGTCTCTAGCATTTTCTTAATTTTATCAGTTTTCAGCATGCTCTGTTGAGCTTTTAAAAAGTCTAGCCTGTGGCTTTATATAACCAAATTTAAGAACAGCAAAGCAGCAGGATTGTTGGTCAGGCCCCAGAAACTGTCCTCTTTGTCCAAGTTTTTCTCCTTTGTGACTCTGGTCTGTTTTCCATGACACCTTTATTACCAGTTTTTGCAATAGACAGAGTTGTACCTCAACTTTTTTTTCTTCTTTTTAAATAAAGTACTTGTCTGGTTGTGAAAAAACTAGCAGGGTGTTTTTCTCTGAAGTGGTCTCTGCATATCTGCACTTGTGAAATCACAGACTCACAGAATGGTTGAGGTTGGAAGGGGCCTCTAGAGATCATCTAGTCCAACTCCTCTGCTCCAGCAGGGACACCCAGAGCACGTGGCACAGGGTGGCATCCAGGTGGGTTTGGAAGATCTCCAGAGAAGGAGACTCCACAGCCTCTCTGGGCAGCCTGTGCCAGGGCTCTGTCACCCTCACAGGAAAGAAGTTCTTCCTCACATGGAGGTGGAACTGCCTGTGTTTCCTTTTGTGCATAGAGCAGTGAGCTGTAAGGTCTCCCTAGAAATGCAGTGCCTCTTCGGCTGCCCAAGGCCAAGTCCTGCTGGGACAGACTTTCACACACAAGCTCTGCAGTTCCCAACTGCCTCTTTTTCTTTTTAGCTATATGGTCACTTTGGTTACAAAGAACTGTGCTCTCTGAAGACAACTTTAACAGCCTTCTTTATTTCATGTTTATCAGTAGGGAAAAATGGTCTTTTAAAGATTGTTTGAGAGAAAATGAGAGGTAGGCATGGCTCACTTTTATTTTCTTATTTTTATTTATTAATCTATTTATTTATTTATTTATTTGCATTCCTATTCCAGCAAGAGGCTGTACTGTCTTCCAGCATCACTGAGTGTCATGAACCTTTATCATATCCCCAAACACTTGTCACTGAGACGCTGTGAGTTATTTCATTTTGTCTGACGTTAGGATATTCTTCCACTCCTGTGAAGGGATAGGCCTACCCCATGGATGGTATAACACAGGTATGACCTGAAAACCTTTATACTGGGGAGAGATACCCTTCTTGCACCTAAGCGCTTATGCCTGGCTCCGGTCAGAATCAGAGCTTGTCTGACTGCAGAAGGGACAGCATAAGGCAGTGACTGCTCAGGCACTCGTGGTACCTGGGCTCATGCGGAACTGGCATGAGCAGCTCCTGGCATATTTGTTCCTAAGCTAGCTTGTTTAGTGCTTGTATCATCTTCATAATAGCATACATACATCTGTGAAAAGCTCTGTTCAGATGCAGAAGTCTTATCAGGAGCTGCCGTTTGTGAAAACCTGTACTCTTGCTTTCCTATACCCCAAGCATAAAGATTATAGAAGGAAAAGCTCACAGAGGGTTTCTAGGCCAGATGCCTCTTTGGCACTACTTCCCTCCTTCCCATGGAGATCTGCGTTTAATATGAGGTTAGTCTGCAGTGAAACTAAGAAGAAACCTCTTGTGATCATGTTTGTGATCAGCCAGTATCACCAGGTCATACTTGCGTAGTCCAAGTAGGTACCGCTTTTCCAAACAGCGTCAAAAGGTCATCAACAAAAGAAATGTGAATCATCCCACAGTCATGAAACATCTATATCCACAAATGAGTGTATACATAGGTATCACAGTTAGGTAGCGCAGAGGTAAGTATCTTCCCTGTCACTCTATTGCTCTAAAGATGCCTTAGGGCAATATTAACTTTTGTAAGAGAAACTGATTTGGATGTAGGGATATTATTAAGGTATAGCGTCAGGGATTTCAGTTTCATTGTTCCCATTCTAAACTTGGTGGAGCAAAGTCTCTGTCTTGTGATCTGTGTTGCATGTATCTTCTTCATCTGTATGTCTATGTGTAGTGTATTTCATAGAAATGGAGATTATACAGAGATTAAAAATTCTTTTATGCATGTTTTTTCCAGCTGCATGTATAAAGTAACAGATAGATAGATACCGCAGAAAAATGTTAGCATTTAAAATGTGATAGATAAAAAATAAAAGTGGTGTGGCTTAGGTTAGATCAAGCTTTTGTCACTGTGGAAAATAAATATTACATAGTTTATTAGGTGAGAAGGCCTCAAGAGAGGACACTGTGTGTGTCGGTTGTAGTCCACACAGTTTCTGCAACTTCTCCACAGTGCCATGGAGGTACCATGAGGATCAGCAGAGTGGTTATGGGAGTTCGTGGTTAGGCCAGGACGTAGCAGATGGGAAACTAAGAAGTCATCTAAGTTAACTGTAATAAAATATTCCTCACACTAGACACTTTCAGTTGTAAGACTCCAGACTTTGTACTTTTACAGTTACCAGTCTCCTTCCTGTTGCACCACTTCTGACTGTGTTTTGATAAGACTATGAAAGTGTTGTGTTTAATAACCTACTTCTGGAGAGCAATCTTTAAAGATACAATTCTGAGTAGAAGAAAGTAAGCACATCTGAAAAATAAAAGTTAGACATGGCATTTTGTTGGTCAAAACCAATCCACAAAGGATTGTACCTGGCAATGTTCATTTCCCTGTGCACTAGGATTGTCCTGCGTGTCGTTGCCCAAACATTTGTCATTCTTGTCAGCTGTCACCTGCTTTGAACGAGGGCAACAATTAAGCTTTTAGAATCACAGAATCATAGAATCATTATGGTTAGAAAAGACCTTCAAGATTATCAAGTCCAACCGTAAGCCCTTCACCACCATATCTGCTAAACTACGTCCCTCAATGCCTCATCTACACGTTTACTGAACACTGCCAGGGACAGTGACTCCACCACTTCTCTGGACAGCCTGTTCCAGTGCTTCACCACTCTTTTCCCTGAACCTCCCCTAGTGCAACTTGGGACCATTTCCTCTTGTCCTATTGATAGTTATTCTGGAGAAGAGATTGACCACGACCTCCCTACACCCTCCTTTCAAATAATTGTAGAAAGCAATAAGGACTCCCCAAGCCTCCTCTTACCCCAGCTCCCTCAGCTGCTCCTCACAAGGTCTGAGCTCCAGCCCCTTCAGCATCTTCATTGCCCTTTTCTGGACATGCTTACTCAGCTTACTCTGATAGTAACAAGTGATAGTATCTGATTTAAAAAACCCTCAAATTTTAACCAGAATAAGTATTAAAAGCAACTTCTACTTCGTATTTTTCAAATTAAGTTATAAATATTTATGGAAGAAAACAAATACTTTTGTAGCCATTATATTGTCTTGATGGTTTGCTTTATTGGCTTGAGAAAATCTGTGAATGCATTAAAATTACACGTAAGTGCAGGAACATGTGTAACACAGATTTAAAAAAAATCATGCTTTTGCAAGCTTTTCTTTTTCAGTTTTTATACTTTTAAAAACAGTGGAAACAGTTGTGCTATTCTTGCTGCTACATTTAATTAGTTAAAATATATGGCTCTTTTTGCTTTTTTTTTTTTTTTTTTTAAAATGTGAGCTCTCCTTCCTGTAGAGCAAATAGACATATGATTATAATTGCAAAAAAACTCTTTCATCTTCTTCCTGTCATAAATCTTTCAAGAAACTAACCAAGCTCCAAAAATCCCTAAGAAAGTGCAAAGTTTTCCGTCAGGACGGTGCATTACTTAGTGAATAGAGACCTACTATAGCATTTAGAAATTCAATTTCTGTGCCTGCTGTAAGATCTTTTTCAAGTTATTTATTCTCTCTTATACCTCAGTTTTTCCACTTTAATGTCTTTTTAATTTAGTAGTGTCTGGATCGTGTCTTAGCTACATTTTTACCAACTGGAAATATATATGGATTTAAAAGTTGCATGCTGTAAA